ATTTTGAAAAATGTGACAAAGAATAGCTTAATATCTATATTTGGTCAAAAAATGACCTTTAACCTCATGTGCATAACACATGACTATTTTAAGTTATAAAATTTCTAAAACACCTTTGTACTCTCCCCAAAAAGTCCCTTACACCATTTTATATATAAATTATATTTCTCTCTTTTCGTCAAAACTCGCAGATAAGACGATTAGTAATAAATTTTTTATTTTGGTATAGCTGAGTCTGAGTCGTGACATATGAAACATAATAACTAACTATATAGCTATCAAAATAAACATATGATAACTAAAATTTTAATTAAAAATTATTAAATTAGAAAAACAATAAACAAGTTTTGAGATGAGTACTAAACAGGCTACAAGCCTAAATCTCCTCCATGTACATATGTATTAAGGGTGACAAAAACAAAACAAAACAAAAAAACATATATATTAAGGAATTTATAGTTATGATTAAATTTCACAAACCCTACTTTTAAATATATATACGTGTTTCAAAAAAAAAAAAAATATCTCTTTTCACAGTTCTCTAAAAGAAACATTTTTTGTTTTTTTAGGACAGATGGAATATTTAGGACTATATAATTATGATAAAACACTCCAATGATTTTTCTTTTAAAAAACACAATGATTTATTTATTTTTTTATAATAATTTGATGAGTGCAACACTATAATCAATAATATATATATATATATATATATATATATATATATATATATATATATTTAGCAAAGTATCACACGCAAATTTTTACAAATAACCACTCGGGGCTCAGACTTCTCACTTCCGAGGCCAAATTATTGGTCAATTGGTAATAAGAATGGGTTGATGTTTCAAAATTTTGTTACATTTAAGTCAAACTTGATAATAAATTTTTGATTGGGTTTGATCATTTATTTTTATTTTTTTAGTGCACGTGTATCCATCCATAATATACTGGCCGCATTATTTAAGACATGAGTGTAGTTCGAAAGTGAGATTTCAAGAACTTATCCCCTGAATCCCTGCCAACACTCCTATGCCCTTGAAGACGATATTGATTGATACCCTAAAACAAACAAATCAACGAAAATTTGGGACCACTCCCACTTGGTCCTTCCAAGATATGAAACATCTATTTTTTAAACGACACAATTGGTACAACTCTACCAATTGCACGTACAAATAATTGCAAAGTTAGTGGTCAAATTAGATACGCGTCACCATTTAAAACATTCTAATAAGAGCTGTCTGAGGTCTCTACATTTAACCAATTGATTAAAAAATATATCATTTGACTTTTCATATATTTCAAAAATTATTTTGATTCAATGATTTAAATATGAAGAATTTTTATTTTTTTATATATTTTTTTGAATGGTAAATATTCATAACTTATTCACAAGGGAGCTCTCTCAAGAGCTAATCTCTTTAAAAAATTCCAACTTTGTTGGTGTGACATTCATTATATATATGGTTGTCTCGATTTATAATTTTAAAAAACAATCTTCTAAGCATAAGAAAATATAGAATGTTAATTTTGGAACAAAATCAAAATTTTATGATTTTAAAGAGAGTAATTCTAAATGGACACAATTGGTACAACTTTACCAATTGCACATCACATGGAAGTAATTGCAGAGTTGGTAGTCAAATTAGACACACGTCAACATTTAAAACATGAGTAATGTTTATAAGAGCTCTCCCGAACTCTCTACATTTAATCAATTAATTAAAAAATATATCATTTGACTTTTTATATATTTTAAAAATTATCTTGATTCAATGATTAAATATAGATTTATTTATTTATTTTTATTTTATGAATGGTAAATTTGAAGGGTTCATAACTTATTCACGAGGGAGTTATCTCAAGAGCTAATCTCCTTCAGAAATTTTTAAGCAAAATATCACACACAAAATTTACCAAATCACCACTAGGGGCTCAGACTTCTCACTTCCCAGGCCAAATTATTGGTCAATTGGTAGTAAGAATATGAGTTGATGTTTCAAAATTTTGTTAGATTTAAGTCAAACTTGATCTTAAATTTTGATTGGATTCGATCATTTTTTTAAACCGACACAATTGGTACAAATCTACCAATTGCACATGGAAGTAATATATATTACATGACATATACAATTAAACATATTTACATATATATATATATACACACACACACACTAACATTCCCATGGGCCTAAAGCCTGCGTTAAGAAACTTAGGCCTTCTTCAACTAGTCCAAGACCCACATAATTTCTTCCTCTCCCTTGGCTATTTATAATGCTTTCCAGCGCCTTAATTTCCAATTTTTTTAAATTTTGTTTTTCTGATACTTGAACTCTCAACCTTCTCTCAAACCTTCTTGTTTGAGAGGAGAGATTATATCATTGATTAAAAGTACTTGTTTTTGTTCAATTCCAATTCATGTTAATATTCCTTCAATTTTGACTTGTAACTTTTTTTATTTTCTGTGGGAACAATGCTGAATTGTAAATGAGCCTTGCCCTTTGCCTCATTTACTTTGTTAGAAAAGCATTTTTTTTCTTGTTTATTAATGAGTAATACTATTAACAGAGCTCTTTAATGATCAGACCATAAACTCTTTTATTCATTAGTTGAAACTGTAAGGTGACCTTATATATGTGCCATAACTTGTGAACCATACATATTATTTAAATACTAGTATTTTTATACCGTGAGAGTTTAACTCCAGATATCTGAGCCTCATAACCAATGGCCCATCCTTGTGGTTGTTCTAAAAATCCAACATCAAATTTTCATGCTCTTGCAACAACATTCTTACATTCAAACGATTTAGCACCTAAGCTATGTTTGGTATAGTAGAAAATAAAAGAAAGGATAACATTGGTTATGAGATGGTTATGAGAGAAAAGAAAGGATAGTGTTAACCTCTCTTTACATTTGGTTGATTAATTAAGAAAAAAAGAAAAGAAAATGATAATAATCATGTTTGGCGGAGGAAGGAAATAAAACTATTTAAACTAATTTACCACTATACCATTTTATAATATAAAAGACAAACTTATATATTAAGCATGCAATTTATGAATATGACACCCATATGCTTTTTTTCAAGTTTAAGCCAATTGAAGATATAAACATAAATATTTATTTTTTCATAACATTTATTGAAAAAAAATCAGATTTTGTAAAATATTCATTGCAAGCTCCTTTTAAGTTATCCAACAACCTTAAGCAATCCTTTAAAAATTCAAGCATATCCATTCAATAAATGGAATACTCCTACCCATGCCAGTCGACCCCTTTGCCGTAAATTTAGGCATTCCAAAATCGGGTTTAATATATTTATGTAAAGAAGACCAAATATCATTTAGTTGTTGCCAAAGCTTTTCAAGGAAGTTTAATATATTTATGTAAAGAAGACCAAATATCATTTAGTTGTTGACAAAAATAATATTAAAAATAAATATCATCAAGATTAGATACCGTTTTTCTCCAAACTCTAACTCAAAATAATAAAGCCTATATATTAATTTTGTTGCCTTTCAGTAAATTTTAGCAACTTTGTTTCCCACATTTACCAAAGTGAGTAATACATGACTTAGGATTAAAGTGTAATTTTAATTTTATTTTAAGGATAAATTTAGTATTATAAAAATTACATTAGTCTCTCCTTTCCTTTCCTTCCCAATTTTGGAAGGATAGCAAAAGTTCCCTTTTAAGCTCTACTCTCTCCTTCCAAAACCATCCATTCCCTTCAGACCTTTTATCCCAAACACAATTTTTTATTCCCCTCCATTACCTTTCTTTTCTTTTCCTTTCATTTCCGTTCTACCAAACTTGGCCCTAGGGACAGACCAACGTAGGTTCGGCCATCTCTATTGATTTTTTTTTTTTTTTTTCTATTATATAATTACAATTTTTTTATTTATTAAAATACTAAAACAATCCCACTAATATTTTTGATATCATGCACTTGCCGTGCTAAAGTTCAAAATTATGAAAAAGAGCAATCAAACTCTCTTCCTTTGCCACAACACCACCCCCAAACCCCCTCGCTGTCTCTTCGAATTTTTGGAAAAAAACCCACTTGAGCTTATTCCCTATATGGAGGTCAGCTGCCGTTTCGGCCTAGCATTTGTAGTGATTCGGAGATGATTGATTTTATAGGGCCAAGTCCACACCAAACCCTATGTTCTAACACCTTAGTCTGTGCCAAGCCCAAGTCTCGTGAAACTCACCGCGTCTCAACCTGCGCCATACCTCACAGGTTTCATAAGTTTTTTTGGGTTTCTAGGATCATCTCAAATTTTAATAACTTACTAACAAATAAACATTAAGAGAAAATAAAAATGTTATGTTCACCTGTCTAAATCGTGTGATAAAAATTAACCAAACTATGTGTAATATGATCTTATAGAAATAATATAATCTCATGTGATGAATTCATGATTGATGATACTATAAATAATTTATTTTAAATATAAAATTTATAAACTATTCTTATATTTGTAGTTCTTTAGGTTTTTTGGGTTTCTCATGTATGAAAATATTTGTCCAAATTCCATCCAAAATAAATTTGGATTTTAAAGTTTAGGGTTAAGTGCAAAAAAAAAAAACCCTGATATATAGGATTTGTACAGATGTAGTCTCTACTACTTTTGAAAATGTGCATTTCAGTCCATAAAATTTAAAATAGGTGCAAATAAGTCCCTCTTACCACTTTTTGGTCAAAATTGACATAAAATAAATTCAAAAACCCTATTTTACCCTTGAGTTAAGTGCAAAAAACCTCCTTCCACTATCGATATAGTGCAAAACAATCCCTGTGTGGTACAAAACCCTCCTATATTATCAGTTTGGTGCAATTACCCCCTTGTTCACATAAAAAGATATTAACACCCTCTCTACTATAAATGAAATAATATTTAAAAAATTAGGCAATGTAAAACTACCATTTTAGATAATTTATTCTTTTTTTCCCTTTTTTTCTTTTGTATTTGGTTGATGATTTGTACGTCATGGTGATGGAGGAAGAGGAGGAAGGGACTTCGGAGGAGGAAGAAGTCCCGAAGGCCTCAGAGGTAGCGACGGCTTTAAAAGTCATGATGGCGGTAGAGATGATGGAGGGAGAGGAAGGGACAAAGGTTAGTGTAGTTTTCAAATATGTATATATATATATATATATGACAAACTTACTAATCATGCCTCTTTTTTTTGTTCAATTAGTTATTTTTTGAATTTAAGGTCATATTTGGACTTCACATTTTTCTATCTATTTTTTGTTTCCTCTTATGGCCTTTTCTTTTTGGACTGGTCTATTGCTTTGGCCCGAATGGCTCTGGGCCTCTTTTATTTTTTGTTTCCTCTTATGCCCCATTTATATTTGTATATTTTTCTCATTTATTTTATTTATCAAAAAAAAAAAAGTAAAAGGCCAAAAAAAAAAAAAAAAAAAAAAAAAAGGCTTCAATGATGGTCAAAGCAAGAGAGAGAGAGAGAGAGAGAGAGAGAGAGAGAGAAATATTCAATGGTGGCCAGAGCAAGAAAGAGAGAGTGAGAGTGTTCCACAACATTTTCTTCTTCTTTTTTTTTTTTTTTTTTTTTTTTTTTTTTCCGGTAAGATCCACAACATTTTCTATTATTTTGATACATTTCATGATATACAAGAAAAAGTACATAGGACAAGGAAAAAAAAAAAAAAAAAGGAAATAGTTTTTTTGAATTTATTTTATGTCAATTTTGACCAAAAATATTTGCACTTTTTTTTTTTTAATTTTATGGACTGAAATGCACATTTTTAAAAAGTAAGGACTATTTCTGCACAAACCCTATATATTTGAGGTTTTTTTGCACTTAACCTGAAATTTATATTAAAGAGGGTATTAATGTCTTTTTATACGAATATGAGGTAATTGCACCAAATTGATAGTATATGAAAGTTTTATATCACACAGGGACTGTTTTGCACTATCTTTGCACTTAACCCTAAAGTTTTAACCCAATCACATTCTACAAATACAGAGAGGCTTGTCCCTCCAAGCATTCTGTACGAGAGCCCCAATTGAAAAATCTCTCCAAGCCTCAATCAACCCTCAAGTGAAAACAAGGCATAACCCAAGGCTTAGTAACCATTGTTTGATATCATCATTATTCGGAATATTATTATTTCTCTCACTAAATCCTCTCTTTGTGGCTGCAAGGCCTCCCTCCAGATTCTCCCCCTCCTTCCCTCCTCTCTCTCTCTCACACGCGCACACGCTGTCACATCTGTCCTCATCTCTGGCTTGGTTCTCTCTCTAAATTGCTTATTGTTCCATGCCCTTAACGAAGTTGGAGGAGCTTTCGTAAGACTCCACCATTGAAGCTTATCAACCCTAGAATTGATAAGCTTTGTAGAAATGTAAAACCCTTAAATTTCGTATATTATATTTTATTATCTATTATTTATTATTTGAATGTTAAATTAAAGATATTAGAGTTTTTAAAATTTAAATTTCAAAAAGGAATCCTAAACTATCTCAACCACAGTTATAATTATCTTTTATAACTCATGCCGTATCAGTTCTATAGAGATATTATTTGTAAAACAAAAAAAAAAAAAAAGAAAGAAAAGAAGAGGGAAGCGTGAGATATTGAGAGTGATATTTAAAGTTGACGTCTGTGGTAGCCAGAAGGTAGACGGTGACTGAGAAATTGCCTAGAGAAGAAGGAGAAATTATATTTCAATAGTCGAGTTTGAAAAGGAAGGTAAAACAATACTTGAGGCAAGTTAATCTTGCATTGTATTTTTATATATATTTGAAACTTGATTATGATAAATCTTAAAAAAATCTAATTTGTGTGTTTTAAATAAATTGTAGAAATATTATTCTTAAAGTTAGGATTATACTAGTACAACTGTGCACTTGTTTTCTTAAATTATTAGGTTCCAATAAAAGAAATTATTTGTTCTAAATAATTAAATTAAGTTTGATCGTAGAACTCAAAATCAAGGATTTAGTTAGGATGGTTTAGTCTAGGCATGTTATTATTGGTAAGTTGAATTTAAAGTTTTACATAATGCAATGTACAGTTTCCATTCAAAGGATTTCAATGATTATTATAGATGGGTTCCTGTTATGATCTATTGGTATATATGTGATATAATATATGTGGCATATATGGTTGAAGAACTAAGGAGATTTGTGGAAGCATATCATGGAATTTAGAGGCGTGAACCTGCTCTGTTAACTTTGTTGGAGTACTATGAAGGTGCAAATATATATATATATATATATATATATATATATATATATATATATATATATATATGTACGTATATATGCATGTTAGACCTCTTATATAAGTAATTTTATTTAGAATGACTCCAGTAACTTCTTGTGGGCCTGCTAGTGGGTTAGATTAGATGTAACTATAGATTTCCATAATTAATTGCTAATAGCATATCGGGAATCATATTCGGATGATGGTGATGTAGTGGGTTTGTGTAACCACTCGCAGTCAAGGGACAAGTGAATGAGAGAGAGAGAGACCCATATGCGTTTTTAACTGGGTTTCCATGTCATTTTCTAAATCTGTTATTTTGGGTTCACTGTTGTGTCCATAGAGATTCAATATTATTTTTAATTATTTTCTTTTAAGTGATCTTAATTTAATTAAATTAGGAAAGAAAAATAGTGATCATATTTCAAAATTACAGGAAATTCTATATTACTCTGTGTAAGCATATTGAAATCAATTGTGATGAAATCCTGTTTTTTAGATACTGTTTAGATAATTTAACCAAATTAAAACTTGGAAAAAAAAACAATTAATGGAGAGTACGGAAAAATTATTAAAGGTTTGACTCAAAAATCTTACAGGGATTTATATATAATATTAGAGCGTGTCCAGAATTTCTGTACTCCCACTAGTTGGGTCTTTAGGGTTTTGTTTTAAATTAAAAGTGTGTTCGGGAGTATTGCTTATTAATTTAAATTATTAATTAATAATGTCTATCATAATTCACCATAGTTAATAATGATGAGTTTGGATTAGTCGGAGGGCAGTCAGGGACCGACCCTATGATGACTCGTGGGTATGGTCAGGGACCTACCTATTTGGAAGTGCACTACCCTTTTGTTATGGCCATGGGTCTAATGAGCCCTTATTGTGTGGACGTGATCAGGGATCATCTGGGAAGTAGACGTACAATCCAGCCACACGTGTGTTTTTGGTAGTCAGGGACTATACGATTCACACCATTTTATTGGACGGGAGCCCGGGGCTCATGTGAGATATGCCGATTTATTAAAAATAAAAGATGGTTATTTATTAAGTTTATAATTAACTGGGTTATACACATTTGAATAATGAACTTATTTGAGTTGCTTATATATACAGGAATATAAGGTAAGGTTAATTTGCTGAACGATGATTGTGTTTAGCATTTATTGCTGAGCTTGTGAGCTCACCCCATTATCACATTTCAGGTACACATTGAGTAGGAACGTGATGGGATTACATGATGGTGATGGATTTTGGATTGTTTGTCGCATTCTTTGGTTTAGTTCAATTTTCGCATTGTAATAAGAATGACGATATTTTTTTTGAGAGTTAGCTCATTTTGTCCAGTTATCATGGATTATTTTTGACAAGGTTGTTTGATATTATGGTTGTATCGATTTAATAAATTACAGGGTGGTTTTCATCCACTTCTTTATTTAATTATTTTTATTGTAAAGTTGTGGTTGTATAAGGAAAGTCATGTCAAATCTTAATATGAGATAAGAGTTCATGTATTTAGGATTTTGGGGCGTGACAGTTTGGTATCAGAGCCTAGGTTAAGAATCACCTGGCTAAGAATAGGAGCATATACTTATACAAATTATTGCTCTCTTGCCATGCTCCAGTTTAAGTATAAATTACTTGTGAGACTTATCATTGACATTCTTTACTGAAAATAGGATGTCAGGAGCTGGAAGAGGCAGAGGACGACCTGCTAGAGGCAGAGGTCTGGGAGGTGTTGGTCGTGGTGGTGTTAACCATGACGATGTTCAGTTGGAGGATGCACCTCATGTGCCGAATCCTATGATTGGATTTATCAGAGATATCTGCAAATTGGGGGCTGTTGAATTTGCTAGAGCTACCGATCCACTTGATGCTGAGAAGTGGATTGAAGATATGGAAAAGTATTTTGAGATGATGGACTGTACTGAGGTGCAGAAAAGGAAGATTGGTGCATTTCTTTTATCTGGTGAGGCGCGCCAGTGGTGGCAGTCAGAGACCAAGATGGTTGTAGACATTACAACTATGACCTGGGATGATTTTAAAACTCAGTTCAATGACAAATACTTTTCACAATCAGTGAAGGAGAAGAAGGCAACAGAGTTCACGCAGCTGGAACAAAATAATGAGATGTCAGTTTGTGAGTACGAGATGAAGTTTACAGAGCTATCCCGATTCGTTCCTCACATTGTTGCGAATGAGTTACACAAGGTTAGAAAGTTTGAGCGAGGATTGGTCTCTTATGTGAAGAAGTTTGTGGTGGGTCATCGTTTTGACACTTATGCTAGAGTGGTAGAATGTGCTATGGCAGTAGAGGAGAATAATAACATTGCCTTTCAGAAACAGAAGGAGCGTAGGGCAGAACACAAAGGTAAGGGGGCTAGCAGCACTCAACAGAATCAGAGTAGCTCTCAACAGAATCAGGGGGGTCAGCAGCAGCAGACTCAGAGAAACTGGCAAGGTCAGTCTTGGCAGAGAGGTAGACAAGATTGGCGAGCAGGGAAACGGTAGAGAGTTGGTGAAGGTGAGCAATCCACCGCTTTAGTACCAGCCACACCTCATGATGCACAGCCATATCAGTTCAGCGGGCATTGCTACAATTGTCGTGAGCAAGGACATTTGGCTCGTAATTGTCCCAAGCCTCACAAGAATAACCAGCAGAAAGGTCAGGCACCACAGCAACAAGGAGGTGCAAGGGTTTATGCAGTTGTTCCAGATGGGAGACAGGATCGTGCACCACCAGCAGTGGAAGGTACACTTACTATTTATGGCAGTATAGCTAGAGTACTATTTGATTCAGGTTCTTCATATTCTTTTATTGCACTATCATTTGTGAATACGCTGGGATTAGAAACTGGACATATAAGTAATGCCTTATCTATTACAACCCCACTCGAGAGCGCGACGACACTTGATAGAATATGTCGTGCTTGCCCTGTTACAATTGGGGAGTTGGAGTATCCTATTGATTTAATAGTATTACGTATGAGAGAATTTGATGCTATACTGGGTATGGATTGGTTGGCTAGATATCATGCTCAGTTGGACTGCCATGAGAGGATTATTGTATTCTCAGTTCCGGGATAGTTTCCTTCTCGATATAAGTGTGGGGAGTCTGAGGGCACCATGACTATGGGATTTCTGGCCCACATCGAGGTGGTTGAGCAATGCGTGACTATAGAGCAGTTGCCTACAGTGTCAGAGTATGCAGATGTGTTTCGGGATATTCCGGGTTTGCCTCCTAGGAGGGCAGTGGATTTCTGCATTGACCTCACTCCTGGTATTTCACCTATCTCTAGGGCACCCTACAGAATGGCACCAGTTGAATTGAGTGAGTTGAAGAAACAGACTCAAGAGTTGCAAGATCGGGGGTTTATTCGACCTAGCACATCACCTTGGGGAGCACCTGTTTTATTTGTCAAGAAGAAGGATGGGTCACTCCGCTTATGTGTTGACTATCGTGCGCTGAATAGGGTCATTATTAAGAATAAGTACCCATTGCCACGCATTAATGATTTTTTTGATCAACTCAGAGGGGCGCAGTTGTTTTCTAAGATTGACTTGAGGACTGGGTACCATCAGCTGAGGATTAGGGAGGATGATATTCATAAGACTGCCTTCAGGACTCGTTATGGCCTCTATGAGTTCTTAGTCATGCCTTTTGGGTTGACTAACGCTCCGGCAGCTTTTATGGATTTGATGAACAGAGTGTTTCGACCTTACTTGGATCAATTTGTTATGATATTTGTTGATGACATCCTGATATATTCCAAGACTAAAGAGGAGCATGAGAGACACTTGAGCATTACACTTCAGACTTTGCGTGAGCATCAGCTTTATGCTAAGTTTGAGAAGTGTGACTTTTGGCAGGAGCAGATTTAGTTTTTGGGGCATGTGATCTCTAAGGATGGAGTTTCAGTAGATTCTGCCAAGGTGGAGGCTGTGATGAGTTGGAAACGGCCTACTACTGTCACTGAGATTCATAGCTTTTTGGGACTGGCAGGATACTATAGGCGCTTCATTGAGGGTTTCTCCAAGATTGCTGCACCTTTGACCCGTTTGACTCGGAAGGATGTGAAATTTGTTTGGGATCACCGCTGTGAGCAGGCATTTGAGGAGCTGAAGACGAGATTGACTTTGGCACCAGTTTTTACCATTCCTGTTAATGGTGAGAGATTTGTGATCTACACAGATGCATCACTTCAGGGTCTTGGCTGTGTTTTGATGCAAGATGATAAGGTAGTAGTGTATGCCTCTAGGTAGCTTAAGCCACATGAGCAGAATTACCCTACACATGATTTGGAGTTGGCAGCAGTGATTCTTGCATTGAAGGTGTGGAGGCATTATTTGTATGGCGAGGAATTTGAGTTATTCTCTGATCACAAGAGCCTCAAATACCTCTACACTCAGAAGGAGTTGAATATGAGGCAACGGAGGTGGATGGAGAAGATGAAGGATTTTAATGACTCTTCAATATCATCCTGGAAAGGTGAATGTGGTAGCAGATGCCTTGAGTCAGAAACCGAGAGGATTAGTTGCCTTTATGATGATTCAGGAGTAGATGATGTTAGAGGCATTGGCAGAGTTTTCTATCATGCCGAGTTCTCAGAGTACAGGGGCTATTCTTTGTAGTTTGACTGTACAACCTACTTTAATCAGCCGGATCATTCATTTTCAGACTCAGGATGACAGGTTACAGACCAAAGCAGTTGAGTTTGTTAATGCTGAAGGTAATGTTGACTGGGCGTATAGAGCTGATGGTGGTATGAGATTTCGAGGTAGGCTATGTGTTCCAGACTTAGCAGATCTCAAGAGAGAGATTTTAGAGGAGGCACATCACTCTAGGTACACAGTGCACCCAGGTGGCACTAAGATGTATCATGATCTTAAGAGGCAGTTCTGGTTGGAAGGCATGAAACGTGATGTGACAGAGTTTGTATCTAGATGTCTCACTTGTCAGCGAGTGAAAGCTGAGCACCAGAGACCAGCAGGACTATTACAGCCTTTGCCTGTGCCTGAGTGGAAATGGGAACATGTGACGATGGATTTTGTTGTGGGGTTACCGAGGTCGATACATAACCATGATACAGTGTGGGTGATAGTGGACCGATTGACTAAATCAGCTCATTTTCTACCTATTCGAGCTACTGATACTGTAAAGGAATTGTGTAAGATCTACATTAGAGACATAGTTAAGCTTCATGGAGTGCCGGTGTCTATTGTCTCAGATCGTGATCCTCGTTTTTCATCTCGATTTTGGAGTAGTTTCCAAGCAGCTTTTGGTACTCCTTTGAGTTTGAGTACTGCTTTTAATCCTCAGACCGATGGCCAGTCCGAGAGGGTCATTCAGGTGTTGGAGGATATGCTTCGTGCTTGTGTGCTAGATTTTCGGGGCAGTTGGGAGGATCACATTCCATTGGTTGAGTTCGCTTATAATAATAGCTATCAGGCTAGTATCGGCATGGCACCATATGAGGCACTTTATGGTAGACCTTGTCGTTCACCTGTATGTTGGGCTGAGGTTGGTGATGGTAGTTTTTTGGGGCCAGAGTTGGTGCAAGAGACTACGGAGAAGGTTGCCATCATTCGAGATCGACTTCGCACAGCTCAGAGTCGACAGAAGAGCTATGCAGATCGACGCCGTCGTGCTTTTGAGTTTAGTATGGGTGACTTGGTGTTCTTGAAAGTATCACCAATGAAGGGGGTTACGAGATTTGGCAGGAAGAAAGGGAAGTTAGCTCCTCGATTCATTGGACCTTTTGAGATCACATAGAGGATTGGGAAGGTGGCGTATAGATTAGCTTTACCACCTAGACTATCTACTGTTCATGATGTTTTCCATGTCTCCATGTTGAGGAGGTGCTTGAGGGATGAAACTCAGGCCATTGACTGCACAGATGTCCAGATTCGTCCTAATGCAACCTATGTTGAGATGCCTGTTCGTGTTGTTGACAGTATGGTGAAACAGTTGAGGCGGGGAGAGATACCTTTGGTGAAGGTGCAGTGGAATCACCAGGACGAGAGAGAGGCTACTTGGGAGCTAGAGTCAGAAATGAAGGAAAAGTACCCACAACTCTTCGAATAAGGTATGCAAATTTCGAGGACGAAATTTCTTTTTAGGTGGGTAGAATGTAAAACCCTTAAATTTCGTATATTATATTATATTATCTATTATTTATTATTTGAATGTTAAATTAAAGATATTAGAGTTTTTAAAATTTAAATTTCAAAAAGGAATCCTAAACTATCTCAACCACAGTTATAATTATCTTTTATAACTCATGCCGTATCAGTTCTATAGAGATATTATTTGTAAAACAAAAAAATAAAAAAAAGAAAGAAAAGAAGAGGGAAGCGTGAGATATTGAGAGTGATATTTAAAGTTGACGTCTGTGGTAGCCAGAAGGTAGACGGTGACTGAGAAATTGCTTAGAGAAGAAGGAGAAATTATATTTTAATAGTCGAGTCTGAAAAGGAAGGTGAAACGATATTTGAGGCAAGTTAATCTTGCATTGTATTTTTATATATATTTGAAACTTGATTATGATAAATCTTAAAAAAATCTAATTTGTGTATTTTAAATAAATTGTAGAAATATTATTCTTAAAGTTAGGATTATACTAGTACAACTGTGCACTTGTTTTCTTAAATTATTAGGTTCCAATAAAAGAAATTATTTGTTCTAAATAATTAAATTAAGTTTGATCGTAGAACTCAAAATCAAGGATTTAGTTAGGATGGTTTAGTCTAGGCATGTTATTATTGGTAAGTTGAATTTAAAGTTTTACATAATGCAATGTACAGTTTCCATTCAAAGAATTTCAATGATTATTATAGATGGGTTCCTGTTATGATTTATTGGTATATATGTGATATAATATATGTGGCATATATGGTTGAAGAACTAAGGAGATTTGTGGAAGCATATCATGGAATTTAGAGGCGTGAACCTGCTCTGTTAACTTTGTTGGAGTACTGTGAAGGTGCAAATATATATATATATATATATATATATATGAATATTTATGTACGTATATATGCATGTTAGACCTCTTATATAAGTAATTTTATTTAGAATGACTCCAGTAACTTCTTGTGGGCCTGCTAGTGGGTTAGATTAGATGTAAGTATAGATTTCCATAATTAATTGCTAATAGCATATTGGGAATCATATTCGGATGATGGTGATGTAGTGGGTTTGTGTAACCACTCGCAGTCAAGGGACAAGTGAATGAGAGAGAGAGAGACCCATATGCGTTTTTAACTGGGTTTCCATGTCACTTTCTAAATCTGTTATTTTGGGTTCACTGTTGTGTCCATAGAGATTCAATATTATTTTTAATTATTTTCTCTTAAGTGATCTTGATTTAATTAAATTAGGAAAGAAAAATAGTGATCATATTTCAAAATTACAGGAAATTCTATATTACTCTGTGTAAGCATATTGAAATCAATTGTGATGAAATCCTGTTTTTTAGATACTGTTTAGATAATTTAACCAAATTAAAACTTGGAAAAAAAAACAATTAATGGAGAGTACGGAAAAATTATTAAAGGTTTGACTCAAAAATGTTACAGGGATTTATATATAATATTAGAGCGTGTCCAGAATTTCTGTACTCCCACTAGTTGGGTCTTTAGGGTTTTGTTTTAAATTAAAAGTGTGCTCGGGAGTATTACTTATTAATTTAAATTATTAATTAATAATTATTAATTAATAATGTCTATCATAATTCACCATAGTTAATAATGATGAGTTTGGATTAGTCGGAGGGCAGTCAGGGACCGACCCTATGATGACTCGTCGGTATGGTCAGGGACCTACCTATTTGGGAGTGCACTACCCTTTTGTTATGGCCATGGGTCTAATGAGCCCTTATTGTGTGGACGTGATCAGGGATCATTTGGGAAGTAGACGTACAATCCAGCCACACGTGTGTTTTTGGTCGTCAGGGACTATACGATTCACACCATTTTATTGGACGGGAGCCCGGGGCTCATGTGAGATATGCCGATTTATTAAAAATAAAAGATGGTTATTTATTAAGTTTATAATTAACTGGGTTATACACATTTGAATAATGACC